GTTTTGGGGTTCTCCGGGAATTCAAACGGGTGTCATGGTTCTAGCTTATAAAGTACAGAAATAGCTGAGAGTCCACACAATTGATGAATAAAGATGTTTTGAAGGAAAAGCATTCAACATACAAAATAAAATTTAAGAGCAGCGACTCTGCCAAAGTCCTTCTGTTAGTTTTGATTTTTCTCTTTTCTTATACAAGAATGAAGTTTGAAAGTGCATCCATATGACAGAGTCGGTCCTTGGATTTATTGTCTCCTTCGGCCACTGTGGCAAAGCGGCTTCAGGTCGGTATGGGCTGCCATGAATGCATCAGCAATTAGGCGAATATCCGTATGGATATGCATGAGTACATGTCAGGCCAAGGACATGTAGGTGCAAGTGGTTGTGACAAAAACTCGACAGTCTCTGGCCTTCCTCCTCATGCGAGGTAGCAGCAACGCACTGGACGATCAAACGCTCGTATTTCGCTGCATCGTCTCGAGGTGACCCCCTTGCAGACAATGCGAATCACGACCAATGTCCGGGGGCGGGTGCTCCTTGTTTCCTGGTTTCAGATCTAAAAGGAGCTATGAAGAAATCACAGGCAATGCTGATTTTGGAACCGGGACAGCCACTCACAGAACCTGGAAATCACCCTCGGCTACTTTGATCATCACAGCCTTCCACAGTTTGAAAAGCAAGATCACTGGGTTTGTCCGCAATGCACACACGGGCATTGTGGTGGAAAAATGCGACAAGACAGTGAGGATGTGCAATCTTGAAAGAAGAAAGAGGATGAATTAAGCTCAAGACTCTAAAAAGAAAGTCAGAGAGTGAGCCACTCAGTTTTTATTTGAAGCTGGCCGCCATAGATCTATAGCGGCATGCATACACATCCACACATTATCCATTTTACAGGTTGCCAAACGTGACTGTAGACTTGGGACACATCTTGGTGCAGCCATAGCCATTTTTCTCACAGCAGTAGTGCTCCACACCATTCTCGCATCCATTCTTGAGGCAGCATGAGTAGTTCTTGGATGAGTCGCAATTTTGCATGCACCCATAGCCGTTCTTGAGGCAACAGTAAGTGTCGCCCAGAACACTTGTTAGTCCTGCACAAAAAAAGACATAAGAATTAAATAACAAAAAAAATCTCATCAGCACCTAGGCCTTCGTTTCCCAGGATAGTAGCCAAATATCGTGGATCATGCATAGCATCCACCCCTTCCAAAACCACCGTTGCTATGGAACAAGACTGATATTTAGCTGAAACATTATGCAATCAAATCTATACCTTCTTTAGCAGCATTGGCAATTGCGAGCAAAAGCAATGGCAGCAGAAAGATGCAAGAAACTCGAACAAGAGCCATGACTATTGAAGCAAACAGAAATAATAGAAGCAATAGTTTATACAAATGGCCTTTGGTGTGGGCAACTTATAGTAGAAGTTGTCATCCCACATATCTCTCGTGTTGTGGATGATGTATGCACATAATTATTTTACAATAGAAAAATGATAAAAGTCATCAAATATTTTAAATGTTTTTGGTACTTAAAGAAACTAGTTTAAAAAATTTAAAATGTCTTTCATATAAATATTTATGAGATGGTTGTAATATTATTTTCCTCTTTTAGCTTCACATTGTTATACCACTTCACCTAAAAGTGTAATAAAAATACATATATTTAAATAAAGTTTAATAATTGGCATGAAATCTAAAATTATTTTTTCTATAGAAACAGTATATAATTTTGTTATCTCCTCATGAAAAAATATTTCATAAATGCAAATGAAAAAAAAGTATGTAATACCAAAACAAATTATACAAACATCCAAATTTTTGTAAGTATCAAAAGGATTGTTTAATATTACTACTATGAAAGTTACACAAAAAATATAAAAATCATGATAAATATCACTTTTATAGATTTTTTAAATAGAATCTATATATCAGTAGAAATTTATAATAATTCTTGTATATAATATCAATTTAATAATATTACGCATTAACAACTTTGATTGGAATTAAGATATGTATTATGATCACAATTCTCAGTCATATTTATTTGCTTATGTTGAGAATATAAACAATTTAAAAAATTATTGAACAAAATATTAAAAAAATGAGAATTTATATATTTTGAAGAGTAAAAATTAAATAATGAACAAATAAATTATAATTTTTTAATTTTTTAATATACTATTATGTTATGGTGTACTATTCCTTCTGAACATTTGTATATAATAAATTCATTAAACACTGACATAATTGTTGGTACTTTAAATAAACTATACATAATCTCTGAAGGTATGTGAGTTTATGGTATATTCCTGAAAAATATGTAAATTTTAAAAATTTTGATTTTTTTAATTTAAATGATAATCCTTCATATATATTATTTTCTCAATTAGATTAACTAAGTATTTTATATGTAAACATTAAATAATTTGCTACGTGTCACATGTACCAATGTTTGGTTTGATTAATAGTAGTGTTATTTCTACTTATTAATCCAATTGATCAAATAAAAATTCATAATTATAAACATGCTTATAATTTATAAACACAAGATTAATTTTATTGCATAGCAACCATTAGATGGTAGAATAAAAAGAATATACTTCAAAGAGTTTAAGCAAATGTATAAATTATAAATAAAAAATAAATCTAAATGAATAACAACCATTAGATGGTAGAATATCCTAGAATATCCAAGCATATTCTAGGTATATTCACTACAATCTCAGCCCCCTACAGGTCTGCTTAAGCAAACCAAAAACATTTAAGCTTCTCTTATTTCTTATAATACAACTTATTAAATCTAATAAAAAATACTATCTAATTAAAAAATAAATATATATCTTATTAAATATAGACATAAATAAAAATTTAAATTTAGTCTTGATAAACTGCCTAGTGCTCTAGAGGCTGCAAAATAAATAAATATAATTTAACCATAATAAGGTTTTTGATTTATGATATAATTTAACTAATATATTAAACTATATATTAACTAATATTATTCATATTAATTATTTATTAATAATTTTTATTTAGTAATAAAAATGTTGAATTAATAAAGCTTGCTAACTTTATAAGCATGAACTCATAAATTTATTAATTCAAGGTTTTTATTTATGTTATTTAGAAAATTAAAATGTGAAAGAACATTAGAAAGTACAATGTACTATCCATCAATAACACTTTCAATCACAATATTTATACTATATGTTTAACCTTCTTGTATTAAAAATTATTTAAGTAGCTTTAAAATATTTTACTAATTAATAAACGTTCAATATATTATTAAAACCGCCCTTTTTTTTATATTCATAAATATTACTAATTATAATTATTGAAAACCTAGATATATGTGAATTTGTTATTATTATTTTGGAACTCTCCATATAGAAGTTTGTTCAACTATATTAGAAACACTTATATGACCAGTATCTTCAACACATAATGCCATTGGTCTCCAAATATTTTTCCAATAAATATTATATGACCATATAACATTATGAAATTCATCATACAAAACTAAATTACCATCAATTTGCATTGTTAAATAACAATTATTTCCTTTATTTTCTGTATTAGTCTGCCATATGGTAATAGATTCTTTATATAATACAACATTACAATTTGAATGAACATGTAATGAGTACTGTTTATTTAAAGATTGAAGAAATTCTCCACTTAATAAATTAGAAAAGTATGAAAAATTAGATGTACTTTTAATGCATGTACGCCTCCACGTACAATCTTGATTTTGATTTAAAAAACTTAAAGTTTTTATCTTTTGTATACTTTGAATATTAGTATCTTCAACTATATATTCAATTAACATATTCCCTAAATAATAATCTGTAACCCCATAGTTGATCATCTCATGATCAATAACGATGTAATTATTATAAATTCTTTCAAATTCAGCTCTTAATCTCAAACCTTCCCATGGAATAGTGTAATTTGGAAATAAACTACAGAGGCGTTGATAGTTAGGAACATACAATTCAGAAGTCATAGTAGATAATAATATCCTAATACCATAATTGCGATAAACTCTTGAATATCTAGTGTAAAATGGAACATTAACATCTATTTGATCTATAGCCTCTCTTATTGCTCTTAAAATGTTTATTTTTGTAGATAATGAGAGATTTCTACGATTATCTCTCAAAATACTAGCTGCTAAGCTGTTATCACTAAATATTATTAGCAAAACTAAAACATACACTGTAATACAGTTATTAATCATTATGATTTCTAGAGTTAAAATTGCGGCTAATCTGTATTAATAGCCGTTGAACATATTAAACAACAGTTTACTATTTTGGACTTGTTAAAATATAAAATTATTTCTCTTAAAATAACAATTACTTTAGTTAGAAGTTAGAATATATGCATGTAACAACTGGAAGTTGTTACTGCAAAGACTATAAGACCAAATGTCAAGCTTTACTATAAACTACTGAAATAAAGCATATAGAGAAACAATATGAAGCATGTACCAAAAATGTACAACAGTCATTAAAAAATGGCTTGACCATTAAAATATTTAGTTTGTTAGATCTAGTTAAATCTGTAACTAGGGCTTCCAATTTCAACTATTTTAACGGTGTTATGACGTGGCGAGGCTGTTTTCTGTTGTTCAGGAAACTTGGTTGGCTTTTAAGCATTCCTCCCTACCTAGGTTTTGGTTTTGCGCCATGGGATGCGCCAGCGACTACGAATGCGAGCTCTGCCGGAGCTCGTATTTCGGGGAATCTCCTGGCGGGGGAGGCGCGGCGGCGTCCAGCGCCTGCGATCCATCGTCGTGGATCAACCCCGGCGATGTCCGGCACTTGTATCGGATCGGGCGTGGCCAGTTTGGCGATGTGTTTCTCGCCAGCGCCAGATTTCAATCCCAGGAGCGCCAGGTCGCTGTGAAAATGCTGCCGCTCGTTGGCTCGGAGATGATCGAGACGGTGTTGAGGCGATTCGACGCCGCGCTCTTCGCGTGCCAGGGTCTCAAAGGCGTGAGCGTCCCTCTCGGGGTTTCGATGAAGAATGGCAAGGTGTGTGTTTCTTTAAGATCTTTCCATATAAGCTCTCTTCTCTATCGTGCTCTTCCAGGTTTGCATTCTATCACCTCTGTATGAAGGCTCCGTGGGTGGTCGATTGGCTCATCTCCCGGACAACAGGCTCTCGCCCTCGGAAGCTCTCAAGTAAGCTTTCTCCTAGATTTGAAAGAGAAAGAGAGCCTCTTTCTCTTTTCTGGCGTTGGAAACCCCTGACACTTCGCTCTCTTTCACGAACTTTACACAGGTATGCCACGGACATAGCCAAGGGTGTACTCGAGCTCCATTCTCGCGGCGTTCTCTCGCTCAACTTAAAGCCTTGCAACTTTCTCCTCGACCCGAGCAACGACGCCTTCGTCGGAGACCACGCGCTCCCGCTGCTCTTCTCCGGATGCAAGAGCTTCCTGGATTTCAAGTTCTACATCGGAACTCCAAACTACATGGCGCCAGAGCAGTGGAGCGTGGAGACGAGGGGTCCGCTGGCGTTCGAGACGGACTCGTGGGGATACGCGTGCAGCATTGTGGAGATGGTCACAGGGAAGAGGCCGTGGGAAGACAAGACGCCGCAAGAGATTTACAACCTGGTGGTTTTGAAAGGTGACAGGCCCAGCGTCCCGTCCGAGTTACCAGCAGCGATACAACGGGTCTTGGAAGATTGCTTCGAGTATGACTACCGGAATCGGCCAGACTTCCGCCAAATCCTGGCGACTTTGACGAGGTAAAACTTGTTCTTCACACACCACCTTTGCTAACAAGTGTCGTTGCAGTCCTGGTTTGAAACGAGGCGACTGGATTCACGTCTACGACGAGCCGAGCAAGCAGACGAAGATCGGGCTGGTGATCGAAGAGGACGACTCCCACGTCCGAGTGCGCCTGCCGAGACAGCAGATCCAATCCTACTCCCGCGAATCGAGGAAGCTCTGCCTGTGGAAGAACCCGCTGCAAGCCGGAGATCACGTCACAGTGAAGAAGTCGGCGAGGCGCGGCTGCTGGCGCTACACGCCGCACAACGCCGAGGGCGTGGTGGTGGAAGTTGACAGAGAAGAGATCGTGGTCCGGGTGAAGTTTTGCAGCTCGCAGGACCTCTGGGAAGGGAGCCCGGACGAGCTGGAGCTGGTCTCGTTTGGAATCACCGTCGGGGACTGGGTTCACAGGTTCACAAACGAGGATCACCACTACTCGGGCAGTCGGCCGTCCTGCGTCGGGATCGTTCACAGCATCCAACGCGATGGAGAGCTGCAAGTCGCGTTCGTTGGCTGCGACATGCTCTGGACTGGAGTTCCAACCAGGCTCGCGAAGATCCAGCCGCTCAGAGTCGGGCAGATGGTGCGACTAAGCTGCTGTGCTCGGGGAAGTCCGCGGTTTGAGTGGCCGTGCAAGGAGAGGAGCGGCCGGATCACCAGGATAATGCCCAACGGCTGCCTGGTTCTCTCGTCGAGCAGCTGGAAGTCGAAGGAGCGGTGGTTTGGAGATCCGGCACAGGTGGAGCTGATCGAGAGGAAAAAGTACCGCCGCACTGGAAACGATCTCCTGTCGAGCTTGCACTGGGGTCTGATGAATCCGATGGTGTTTGCGCTGGGAGTGCTGGCAGGAGTTTTGCTCGGAAACTCGATTCTACAATCGAACGCTGCTGCTGCTGCCTCGAGCTGCGATGGGAGAAGCTATTGGGACCACGAGATTCTGATCACGTACCCGGAGGGCTACAGTTCTTCTCTTACGGAGCCAGCTTCTCTTCCTTCGCCACCATCGCCGGGATGGGTGGTGAGAACGTTTAATCGATTTGTTGCTCATCTAGCAGAGAGTGCCGATGATTTCCTTCATTGACATAGAAAAAGAAAAGCTAACTGTCATTAGTACGCGAAAGAAAGACTTGAATCTATAGAGGAAGAAAAAAAACGCACAGACCATTAAGAAGAGCAAAGAGCTTCTACTGCCAAGAACTTTTCTCGGACCCCGGGACACGCGGAAGTGGTAAAGTCGGGAGCCAAGCTGCAGCTTCTCTGTCCAACGCAAGCCTGGAATCCAAATGAGAGAAAACTTAGCTATGAAACAGCGAAAGTAAATGAGCAAACCTTCTCCACTGTGTTGGATAGATCGTTCGTGTGACAGCTTCCTTCCTTGAAACTCCCGCAACTTCCTTCGGGATTTCCCAAGCTGGCGAAACGTATCTGGGAGATGACTTGCTTTTCACCCGGGCACCAGAGCTTCACGGAAGCTGGATGGGATTCATAAACTCGTGCGCAGATCACGTTCGTGGATCTCGTCACGAAGTCTATGCTCGATGGATCACCACCGGTTTCTTCGAAAAGGACCAGAAGATTTCCTCTCGGCTTCATCCAAGAACGAGGAACGTGATACCTGGAAAACCAGAAAGTTTTACAAGGAATGAAAGGATGGCAAGGAGCACTTTGTTACCAGCGCTGAGATGACTGTCCGCAGCCTGTTAGGCATTTGTTTTGATCGTAGCTCCCACGATAGTCACAGCTCTCGGGGCAGACCGAGTCCGCAGCTTTATATGCTGGCCAGTATCGTCCAATGCTCTGTCCGTTCACCCACGCTTGACCTTTACCCATGCTTGCCAAATCCAATGCAACCGGATCATCTCCGGGTGGAGCATCGAATTCTGTCTGCACTTAAGGAAGAAAACATATTGAAGAAAGCTTCCACCAAAAACTTCAATGCTCTTATAATTACCATGTACCATGTCAGAGGCTTTTTTGTCGAGACGGCTGACCAGTTTACGCTACGAGAGCCTTCTACTGTGAAAAGTTTAAGATCTTCGCCTTTGAGACCGACCTGTTATTGCGGTTAGATAGAATGGAAAGTAATAGTTCAAAAAACCTGGTATGTCCACTCTTGTTTTGACAAATTCTGATCTCCACCCGGAAGGCCCTTGAGTATCAGCGAACCGCTCAGGCCCGCACTCCAAGTCTCGATAAAGGCTCCAAAATTCTTGAAAGCATCCAAACTTTAGCATCCAAAAAGAGTTGGGAAATGGTAGCTTACTTGAAGGCCAACCGTAGCGCTCAGTAGTGCAATTGTATTTGAACCAGGAGCTAGCTTAATAGGTGCCTCCACCGAATTATATAGAACCGACTTACTAGTATGCCAAGAGCTTTGGAACTGTCCATTCACAAAAATGTGGACAACGTCCCTCATACTTTCAATGGAAAGCCATGTTGAACCAGTTCCCGTCGCCTCAACGCTGTAAACTTCCATATACACCTGCTTTTACAGAAAGATAGCAACATACCTTGTCGTGTACCACAGATAATCACTCGTGTCTTTAGTCGTCTCCATTTGCTCCAGTAGCTGCTTAGCTTTGAAACTTGATCCCGAGATTCCTACAGGTTCATCGAATGATGTCCATGATAAGCTCGATTTTGAAGGATTCATGCTCACAACCGCAGATTGCGATTTCACCTGCGAGTATCTTAGAGGAAAAGAAAAAAAGTAACAAAAAGAAGGCAGAACAAACCTTTGCGGAGTTGAATGCCACGGTTTTGCAATCAAGAACAATGCTCACAGACCAAGCTGGCAGGGAATAGGAAACGTTTCTAAACTCTACAACTGTGTCGTTCATACTGTCGACGTTGGCAAGGAATGCCACACATCCGTTTCCATATGAATAGACATGGGCCTGCAACTTAGCTTGATAAGAAACACGAACATTCAAACTGAGAAACACCTCTTGATTTGGACCGAGTTCACTATGCTGTCCTTCGCTTGACAAAATAACTTCTTCGCCCAGTTTTAGCGTTTCGTGAAGGTCCTTCAAGTGTCCCCACTTAGGAAGATGCTGCATGCCTTCAACTCAAAACAAAAACTTTTAAGCAACTCAACTTGAGCATGATTTTTACCATATTCATCTAAAGGTGCGTCGTAGTCATAGCTACTTGCGACATATGGACCACCTGACGTCCTCCCAAAATTTGTTCCCCCAAAATACTACACGCATTTAGCACGATCAGTTTCGAGACGATGATATCAAAACCCAGACCATGTAATAGTTGTGGAAGCTACCCCCGCGTTCAAAAAATCGTGCAACTGCGAAGGCAATGTCCTCCACAGGCCTGTGCGGAAGTGGCCATCCATAATATGTGAACCTACAACCAAAAGACGGACATACAAACTGCTTCTAAGGAATAGAATGAGTTGTGCTTTACCAGCCAGTGTAGCTTTCAGTCCACATAGTTGGCTTCTTGTATAGAGTTGGATTCCAGCCGTCGCAATACATTCCATTGCAGGTGTCAATCTGCACACAAGCAAGATACTTAGAATGTAAGAGACAAGATCAAGTTGCTAAAAATTACGATGTACTCGGGAACTTTAGACTGCGCACACATTATCCAAGGGACGCCTGTGTTTTGAGCTTGAGCCATCTCAGCTGCCCAGTTTATGTACCTCACACCAGCCTCCCCATAATGCGAATCAACGTTGCCGTATTCGTTTTCAACCTGAGCTAGAATTATAGGACCGCCCTGGGAAGCAAACAAGTTTTCTTCTTTCATCATGTTTACGATCTTTGTCAAGAAACTTTGCATATATTTCTGTAAGGTACCAGGTAGCATCAGTCAGGTTAGCAAAGAACGAAGCGAAATTTACTTTGAAAGGCTCGTTGTCTGTCCTGAAGACAATATGGGGAATGTCCCTTAGCCAGATGGGAAATCCTCTGCTTACACAGCAATTCTTCTCACTGGAGTTGAAAAAGAAAATGAAATGCTTGGTTGCAACGTACCCGAGGTTCCATTCTGCACAAACGTATGGGCCGATCCGGAGATTCACAAGAAGCCCAGCTTGCTGCACGAGTTTCACGAATTTCACCAAGTCGTATCGACCCTCAAAGTAGTACTACATGAACAAAAGAGAACAACTTAGGAGAAAACTTGACAAGAAAAAACGAAGGACATTGAAAAGCTCACCTGTCCTGGAGATGGTTCATGCCGATCCCAGAACACATACGTTTCAATCACATCCAGCCCACCTTCCTTTGCCTTCTGGATGATCCCCGGCCACATCTGATGTATCAAAACAAGAAGATCTATTTAGCAGTAGCAAAGAGCTGGCAGACCTCGGGTGTCGCTCGAGGATAGTGCACGGATCCAGACAGAAGAATCCTCCGTTTCCCATTCAGTATAAGCGATCGATGATCATAGGAAACGTTCTGCGCCGCGGAGAGCTGGAGCAGCAGCACCAGAGCAAGCGAGAGCAGCCACATTTTCTCCTTTCTTCGTCCTGGAGCTGCCGAGGGCCGATCTTAACTGCGAAAACTCTGCCAACGCTTGACTTGTGACCATCGTGTCGTATCTGTTGGCCTGCGTTTTCCATGATAGCCCTTGTCGGTATCGCTCGCTCTCCTGAAACTGTCGATCAAGACACGCATTTTGGATCACGGAATCATACCTCTTGGCTTGAGCGGGGATACTCGCATCGATGGCAGCGGCGCCAGAAGAAACATCGCTGCCCGACAGCGAAAATAATGGCGATACCGGTACAAGAATCCCCTCATCAGTCAGGACGGAGGCGCGATTGCATCGAGGGAATGCTGTGCTTGAGAATCTATTCCCCGGCGCTCAAGAACCCTAGCATGCTTGGAATGCGCGCCAACGTTCTAGAACCCTAAGGAATATTCTTCCCCGTAACAAATATTCTTGTCAAGAGCCTATAAAAAGGGCAAATGATTTTTAGGGTTTATGGCGGCTATGGAGCAGGCTATGGCGGATGCAGCGTTTGCCAGAAAGGGCGGCCAAGTTCCTGTGGCTCTCGAGGAAGCTGTTCGCGAGACGCTCGAGATGAGGAGGGTGATCACCGCGTTCCGGCGGGATTGCTTGCACTTTAGGGAAGGAGGCTTGCTGTACGAGATCGTGAAATCGTGGTATGACGAGCGCTACGCAGCTGAGCGTTCCACGGACTACCCCGAGGTCAGCTCCAATCTCTCTTTTTTCTTGTTTATCTCATCCACGACGTTTATAGTCGCTAGAGCGGAGGAACCCTTACGCAGCGTTCAAGGGAAAACATCCTGAGTTGGCCGAGTGGTATGGAGAGCTCGATTTTTTGCTCCAAGAAATCCCCGTCGGGAACTCCGCCACCACTGTGCTGAACCTCCCTTTGGATTCGGGTAGGATTGATCTGCGCGTGTTTCTTGTTCTGAGCTCGGTCTTGTTAAAACAGGTGATGCCTCTCGCGCTCTCGAGCCCGACGGGATCCTCTCCCGGATAATCTCTCCGTGTCCCTTTCTCACGCACGGCGAGAACGTCGCTCTTGCCGTCCTCGACGCGAGGCTGTGGCTGTGCCGCTCTGCTCTGCCGCTGGCGATCGGGCAGGAAACATCGTGTGAGTGTGATCGAATTCATTTCAACTTTGTTGCAAGGCTGACGCGTGAGTGCTTGCATGAAACAGACTGGGACGCATCTGGCGGTGGCGGTGGTGTTGTCTTGCCCAAGAGGCCGACTTTACCTTCAACGTTTTATGTTTTACTCCAGGAGTCGGCTGTGCAGGTGCACGCTACGCTCCTCAGGCATTCCAGCAACAGGCTGTACGAGCTGGCTCCGTCGGATTTCACAGACGACAAGCGGGAATGCTTCTGGGCACGCATGGCTCGAGTGCGCTTCCCGCATGTTGACAACCGAGGGATGTCGAGCAGGGAGTTTGCCGCCACGCTCGCCCGCAGTAGCGCGGGAGAAGATCGCGACTTGGACTATTTGGAGTGCTGGCGGGAGGATGAAACGAGGGACATGTACAGGCTGTTGGCGATGTTCATCCATGATCGGTAAGTAGACTAGTTGTTTGGTTCCTCACTTAGTTGTTTGGTTTTTGGTTCCTCACTTGAGAATCTGTCTTTTGGTTTTCCAGGACACCTGAGATGCACGAAGAACAGATGGAAAAACTGGCCAAAGAAGAAGAGGAAGAAGAGGAAGTTGGGAGGTAAGACTTTCGACTGGCAAGACAAGCAGTTCTTCCAAATGAATGACGGCAAGCCTGTGATCGAATCCAAACAACAATGTGATGTGAGTTGCCGTGAAGAAAAAAGCAAGTACCTTTCCAAATGTTGCGGAAGCATTTCTTGGTCCGTGATCTTCTGTCGAGGCTGGCGAAGCTTTGGACCGCCACAGTTATCTTGGTCTCCAAGGCCTTCATCTTGTCTACGACGTCGGCTTCGCGCCTCTAGCGTCCAAGTTGCGAAGAAGCCTGCGCTTTCGTTCCAGCTCCGTAACAGACCTGAGAAGAAGAAAGCACAGAGAATAAGAGCTTGGTTCCAGATCGAAAGTAGAAGCATTACCTTGACCTGTTCATACAATTTCGTAAAGTCTATCCAAAGTTCCAGCGTGACTCCCGGCCTCGATGTCAAATCCACTGGGCGAGCTCAGAACCAATGCCCGAGCGAAAGAGCGCTCAGCAATCGGGACCAATGATCCGAGATGCACGATCATCGAACAAAGAATCAAACTCAACCTTATGAAACCATAGTTCCTTAACCTCTCTTGAGCTGGACTTCGCCCGCCTCCAGTCCCACCACTGCACTCCACTGGAGCTCGCGGCGCCTCCTCCACCTCACTGTTCTCGGTCGATCCTATTGATTCTGCCGTATGAGTTGTAATCGCGCAATCTATGAGTGGAGCTCGTCGGAAGCTCTGAACTGGTCTTGAATATCCGGGACTTGCTGGAGCTGGACGTCGTTAAGTAGAACTTCCGTTTAGGCCATCTTTCTTTCGCGTAATTTATCCCCATGGTGCTGCTTTGTCGATCACATCCACGCCAGTTGTCGAAGAATACATGTGTGATGCCTTTGATGTACGCTTTACAAGCTTTGTCTAGGAAGAACAGGGACCTTGGGCGCTTGTCAGCATAAAGCATAACATCCGCTTCACGTTCAGGATGCTCTTGAAGTATCATGACGAGGAGGCTCTGTTGCAGTTTCCAAGGTAGTATAAGAATCGTGCTAATATCTGGTTTCGAAAGAATAGCCATTTAGATGAATTATGTGAGAAATGGAGCTCATTATTCTAGAAGATTTGCCTAGAGCCATACAACTAGGACCTTTGGGTTGGGGGTTCGAATCCCCCGAGTGGCGTCTTTGCCTCGTGTTGCATGGCAGCCCCTTTTGCAGCTTTGGCATACAGGGGACTGTAGCCTACCGACACACGCAACATTCACATTTACTAAATGTATAGATACGTTGTAAGAACGTATTTTCTGCAGGTATGGGGTCCCGAGGTCGACTCTCGGAACGCCCTCCATTCCAGTCTACGGAAGCTCAAGACTAAATACACTACAAGACGAGCTCTCTCGATCATGTTAAACACGAATTGGAACCGACATGAATTGGAACTCTACCCCTTCTGTGACCTTTCGCAGCACGTCAACCTGGTGGCACACGGAGTGGTGATCCTGCTGGAGCTACGTGTACTTCGCGCTGAGCTGCTCAAAGTCGAGCGAGCTCTCCGGAGCCTCGAGCTGCTGAGCTTGCCAAAGATCAAAGAACATAACTCTAAAACTTGTATTTTTAAAATCTTCATATGCGATAAAAGTCCATTACTTTGATCACAATGTAGCTCGTTTTGTCAAACCAACTCACATGTTTTTACTTGTTAGCTAAGAACTAGGATTCCTTGCTACTACCTCTGGAGTTGCCTCTAATGGATTCTAAAGCACTACAGCTTCTTATCCTCAGCTTGGTTTCAATTGTCCATTTCCCCAACTGCGGGACTTCTCAGTGCGATCGAGCTCATCTTCTCAAAGAATGCGTCCCGTGTGTGGCATCTGGCACTGTTCTTGAGCATCCAGACGTCAATTGTTGCAAAGCAGTGAATGCTCTAGGCCACAACTGCTTGTGTTCACTCATTGTTTCTTCTACTGGTGTTCTTGCCAAAGAAACAATGAAGAGATATGTAGAGTCCTGTCAAGTAGTGCTCCCAGAGGATTACCAATGTGAGTTCAATGATCAAAGTGTTTGTAGTTACTAAAATTTATTATGCTATTGTTCTTTGCAGGTGAAGGCATCATGTAATGTAAGTATGGATACATGTAAACTTTCTAGTTATATACGTATTTCTATGCAAGTTGAATTTTAATTATAAACTTAAGACCATTTGGTTCACTAGATTTTTAGAAAACTTGCACAGAATTAACTTTTGGCTTTTGTATAAATCTCAAAGAAATTCTCAACATAAAACATCAATTCATCAATCCATTTTTTAATGGCAACTTCAGTCGTGTTTTGCTTCGTTCTCTGCACCTTTCTGGTTCAAGTCAGTGTGGGTTTGCTTGTACAATATGGCTCCACCACAGTCGGGAATGGCAACTTCGTCTCATTGAGCAGCACCAGTTCAGCCCCTACAGTTGACATTGAAGGATTTGGGAAGAATGGCACTACTCGTCTCTTCTCTGTGGTCATGGCAGATCAAAAGGCATTGGTAGCGTCAAATAAAGTTTATCCCTACATCAACTTTTGGATTGCAAACATTCCAGCCGGCAGCACTGGTAAGTAATATATATTTTGGTTTACAAAACTTTACAAATCATGGTGGCTTGGTACAGGAGCTGTGAAGGACAGCATTTTGGAGCCTTATGTATCTCCTTCCAACACCAGCAAGAACATTCCATACCCAAATCCATTCAATGCAAGGAACCACACGTATGATTTCGTGCTTGTACCACAGAGGAATCCCTTGGTGAAGCCCATGGATAGTCGACTTGTCAACTCACTGGCTGATATCATCCAGCAATACCACTGCGGAAGCCCTCTCCAAACGGTCTCCTTTACGACATCACTCCATTGATGTTATTTTGATATTGATATAAGAGGCATGACTCAATGAGTTGAAAGTACTGAGTGATTCTAGAATTTCCATTTATGGAAAAAGGCCATCTTTCTTTCGCGAAGTTTATCCTCATGTCCACGCCAGGAGTGCATTCTATGTGTTGTAATTGTGCAATCTGCGAGTGGATCTCATCGGAAGCTCTGAACTGGTTTTGAATATCCGGGCCTTGCTGGAGCTGGACGTCGTTAAGTAGAAGTTTTAGCCCCATGGGCTTTGTTGATCAAATCCACGCCAGGAGTGCATTCCATAAACGTCTCTTCTTGTCGAAGAATACATGTGATGCCTTTGATGTAGCCTGCGCTTTCGTTCCAGCTCCGTACCAGACCTGAGAAGAAGAAAGCACAGAGAATAAGAGCTTAGTTCCAGATCGAAAGGAGAAGCATTACCTTGACCTTGACCTGTTCATACAATTTCGTAAAGTCTATCAGCGTGACTACTCCCAGCCTCGATGTCAAATCCACAGGGCGAGCTCAGGGATCTCGGCGACCAATGTCCGAGCGAAAGGACGCTCAGCAACCGGGACGAATGATCCGAGATGCACGATCATCGAACAAAGAAAGAAAAAACTCAAACTTATGAAACCATAGTTTTCTTGAGCTGGTCCAGTCCCACCACTGCACTCACTGGAGCTCGTGGCGCCTCCTCCACCTCACTATTCTCGGTCGATCCAATTGATTCTACAGCGGCCGCATTCTCTTTCCTGGATTGACACTAGAATCCACTCCGCGCTCAAAATTTCCTTTCTAGCGGGAAATATATGTAGAAGCAAGAACTCTACTTAACAATCCACTAACTTTTAAACGGAAACTTTCTCTTAGCAAAAATCGTTCTTAGTGGGTGGAATGGAAAAAGAAATTTAGTTTGTCGACTTCCTCCATCTTGCTCCCCTCGGCATCGTTCCCTTCCTCGAGTGGCGGCATCTCAACGTCGGCGGCATCGCCCCAGCTGGAGACAAGAGAAGACTTGAATATCTATCTATCTGCTGAGCTATGGTCACGAGGGAAGAGCCTTCGATCGTCAATTTTCCTTCGCACTTCGGCCATTTTTGCTATAATAGGCGAAAGACTATAGGCAAAAGTTGGGTTTGGGCATGCAATGTACAGTTGTTTGACTAAGCAAGTTGTAACAACCTAAGAGAGAGTGACAAAGGTTCTTATTTCCTACTGGTCCGAGTAAAATATTTCGCTTGTATTTTTAAAATCTTCATATGTGATAAAAGTCCATTACTTTGATTACAATGTAGCTCGTTTTGTCAAACAATCTCACATGTTTGTATTTGTTATAGGCTTCCTTGCTGCTACCTGTGGAGTTGCCTCTAATGGATTCTAAAGCACTACAGCTTCTTATCCTCAGCTTGGTTTCAATTGGCCATTTCCCCAATTGGGGGACTTCTCAGTGCGATCGAGCTCATCTTCTCAAAGAATGCGTCCCGTGTGTGGCATCTGGCACTGTTCTTGAGCATCCCGACGTCAATTGCTGCAAAGCAGTGAATGTTCTAGGCCACAACTGCTTGTGTTCACTCATTGTTTCTTCTACTGGTGTTCTTGCCAAAGAAACAATGAAGAGATATGTAGAGTCCTGTCAAGTAGTGCTCCCAGAGGATTACCAATGTAAGTTCTATGATCAAAGTGTTTGTAGTCACTAAAATTTGTTATGCTATTGTTCTTTGCAGGTGAAGGCATCATGTAAGGGAAGTTGTGTATGTATTTATATGCAAATACTTTCTAGTTATATACGTATTTATATGCAAGTTTGTTCTTGGTGTTTTCTAATTTCAGCCTATACCATTCTTATTATAAACTTAAGACCATTTGGTTCACTAGAATTTTAGAAAGCTTGCACAATTTATCAAAGGCATGGACGGAATTAACTATGGCCTTTTGTATAAATCAAAGAAATTCTCAACATAAAACATCAATTCCTCAATCCATTTTTTAATGGCAACTTCAGTGGTGTTTTGCTTCGTTCTCTGCTCCTTTCTGATTCAAGTTAGTGTGGGTTTGCTTGTACAATATGGCTCCACCACAGTCGGGAATGGCAACTTCGTCTCATTGAGCAGCACTGATTCTGCCCCTACAGTTGACATTGAAGGCTTTGGGAAGAATGGCACTACTCGTCTCTTCTCGGTGGTCATGGCAGATCAAAAGGCATTGGTAGCGTCAAATAAAGTTTATCCCTACATCAACTTTTGGATTGCAAACATTCCAGCCGGCAGCACTGGTAAGTAATATATATTTTGGTCTACAAATCTTTACAAATCATGGTGGCTTGGTACAGGAGCTGTGAAGGGCAGCATTTTGGAGCCTTATGTATCTCCTTCCAACACCAGCAAGAACATTCCATACCCAAATCCATTCAATGCAAGGAACCACACGTATGATTTCGTGCTTGTACCACAGAGGAATCCCTTGGTGAAGCCCATGGATAGTCGACTTGTCAACTCACTGGCTGACATCATTCAGCAGTACCACTGTGGAAGCCCTCTCCAAACCGTCTCCTTTACGACATCACTCTATTGATGTTATTTTGATATTGATATAAAAGGCACGACTCAATGAAATGAAAGATTTTTTTATTAAGACCAATCAAAGAATAGATGCGATCTTTGCTCGTGCGGGTAGACAAGTGTTAGACAACAAGCCCGAGCTTCCATGTAGCTACCACCAGATTTCTATGTCAGTCTACCGCTCTTAGATTCCACCTTTGGATCGCTGACGAAATTTATCCCCATGGTGCTGCTTTGTTGATCACATCCACGCCAGGAGTGCATTCCATAAACGTCTCTTCATGTCGAAGAATACATGTGTGATGCCTTTGATGTACGCATTACAAGCTTTGTCTAGGAAGAACAGGGACATTGGGTGCTTGTCAGCATAAAGCATAACATCGGCTTCACGTTCAGGATGCTCTTGAAGTATCATGACGAGGAGGCTCTGTTGCAGTTTCCAAGGTAGTATAAGAATCGTGCTAATATCTGGTTTCGACCATTTAGATGAATTATGTGAGAAATGGAGCTCATTATTCTAGAAGATTTCCATACAACTAGGACCTTTGGGTTGGGGGTTCGAATCCCCCGAGTGGCGTCTTTGCCTCGTGTTGCATGGCAGCACCTTTTGCAGCTTTGGCATACAGGGGACTGTAGCCTACCGACACACGCAACATTCACATTTACTAAATGTACAGATACGTTGTAAGAACGTATTTTCTGCAGGTATGGGGTCCCGAGGTTGACTCTCGGAGCCCTCCATTCCAGTCTACGGATGCTCAAGACTAAATACACTACAAGACGAGCTCTCTCGACCATGTTAAACACGAATTTGAACCAACATGAATTGGAACTCTACCCCTTCTGTGAACAAATGGATATGGCCTTTCACCTTGATCTTGAAGATCCGGGAATTGCTGGAGCAGCACGTCTCGCTGGTGGCACACGGAGTGGTGATCCTGCTGGAGCTACGTGTACTTCGCGCTGAGCTGCTCAAAGTCGAGCGAGCTCTCGGGAGCCTCGAGCTGCTGAGCTTGCCAAAGATCAAAGAACAAAACTCTAGAACTTGTTCCAGAAAAATCAAAGAACTACAGGGACGAGATGAGCGCTTCCTTTGGCTGGATCACGGTCTGCTTCCTAGCACGCGTTGTTGGATCTCAGGGATTCTTCCGGGCTTTCTTCGTGCAGCTCCTTTGAAACTTTGATCCTCTGGAGCCAGACGATTCACCGATGGAAAACTTGGACGGTTGGAAGGCTTTCAAAGAGATTGCGAGCACACTCGAAACGATCCAGTGGAACTCTGGATCTCACCAACGAGATTGGTCAAGTTCTAAACCTCCAATGCCGCAGCCGCACAGCGAGCTAAGAGTTCGCCATGTTTAATCTTATTTTGTGTAGGGTGTAGATCCTCCTTTTCGAGGTGGAGCTGCGCTGGATGGCTGCACAGTGAACACGGCATCCATATTCGCGGAAGAGCCGATTGTGGAATTGGCTCCTCCCATCCTCTACCCCCCAAGTATTGAAAGATTTGCTGACATCTTCCCAGATCTAAGGATGTTCCTTCCTTTGGGTATTGATTGACTTGATGGATATAGAATCTCACTCTAGGTACGACTTTGTCAAAGCCATAAAATCCTCAAGCAGCTATGATATTGATTTTGTTTTGCACACATCTGACATGAGGCTTCAGCGCGCGTTTTTTTTTTCCGAAGCCTTCCTCTAGGGATTGTTTATCACCAAAGAGACCATATCTTCTTCTGTGTACCTCCACAGCACCCAACCATTTTGAGTTCGCCATTGGAATGCTTGATGGCGAAAATGAGATAGTGCTTAAACACCATTAATGTCTGATCGGCACCTCAAATACAAGCAAAGACCTCGAGGATCCCACATTACGTTTGCTATACTGTGTTTCGTGCTCCAAAAATCGATCCAACAGTTCAAGAGGTCCAAAGCTATATAACTCTGCCAATTTTCTCGTCAAGGCATATAGACATATACATATGTGATCCCAAGGGCGTATGTATACCTTTCTTGCTCCATGATGGAACTATAAGAAAGGAGAACTTGGCAACAAATGCGTGTACTTTTGGAGACAGCCTCAGGCAAGTGGATAGAAAAGAAATAAGAAAGGTGGCGATGCGCAACCGATGATCATCCCTTGATTTAGAAACCGTCCGGGCTCTTGTCTGACTAAGGCTCAGTTGTGGCATCTCTTTAAAGCGCGTGAATATATCTTTCTATCTGCTGAGCTATCATCACGGGGAAAGAGACTTCGATCGGGAATTTTCCTTTGCACGTCGGCCATGTTTGCTATAATAGGCGAAAGACTATAGGCAAAAGATGGGTTTGGGCAGGCAATGTACAGTTGTTCGACTAAGCAAGTTGCAACAAGCTAAGAGAGAGTGACAAGGTTCTTGTTTCTTACTGGTCCTAGTAAAATATTTCTCTTGTATTTTTAAAATCTTCATATGCGATAAAAGTCCATTACTTTGATCACAATGTAGCTCGTTTTGTCAAACCAACTCACATGTTTTTACTTGTTATAGGCTCGCTTGCTGCTATCTGTAGAGTTGCTTCTAATGGATTCTAAAGCTCTACAGCTTCTTGTCCTCAGCTTGGTTTCAATTGTCTATTTCCCCAATTGTGGGACTTCTCAGTGCGATCGAGCTCATCTTCTCAAAGAATGCGTCCCGTGTGTGGCATCTGGCACTGTTCTTGAGCATCCAGACGTCAATTGTTGCAAAGCAGTGAATGTTCTAGGCCACAATTGCTTGTGTTCACTCATTGTTTCGTCTACTGGTGTTCTTGCCAAAGAAACAATGAAGAGATATGTAGAGTCCTGTCAAGTAGTGCTCCCAGAGGAGTACCAATGTAAGTTCAATGATCAAAGTGTTTGTAGTCACTAAAATTTGTTATGCTATTGTTCTTTGCAGGTGAAGGCATCATGTAATATATGTATGTATACATATATACTTTCTAGTTATATACGTATTTCTATGCAAGTTGAAATTTCCACCTGTACCATTCTTATTATAAACTAAGACCATTTGGTTCACTAGATTTTTAGAAAACTTGCACAATTTATCAAAGGCATGGACAAAATTAACTATGGCCTTTTGTATAAATATCAAAACGATTCTCAACATAAAACATCAATTCATCAATCCATTTTTAATGGCAGCTTCAGTGGTGTTTTGCTTCGTTCTCTGCTCCTTTCTGATTCATGTTAGTGTGGGTTTGCTTGTACAATATGGCTCCACCACAGTCGGGAATGGCAACTTCGTCTCATTGAGCAGCACCAGTTCAGCCCCTACAGTTGACATTGAAGGATTTGGGAAGAATGGCACTACTCGTCTCTTCTCTGTGGTCATGGCAGATCAAAAGGCATTGGTAGCGTCAAATAAAGTTTATCCCTACATCAACTTTTGGATTGCAAACATTCCAGCCGGCAGCACTGGTAAGTAATATATATTTTGGTTTACAAAACTTTACAAATCATGGTGGCTTGGTACAGGAGCTGTGAAGGACAGCATTTTGGAGCCTTATGTATCTCCTTCCAACACCAGCAAGAACATTCCATACCCAAATCCATTCAATGCAAGGAACCACACGTATGATTTCGTGCTTGTACCACAGAGGAATCCCTTGGTGAAGCCCATGGATAGTCGACTTGTCAACTCACTGGCTGATATCATCCAGCAATACCACTGCGGAAGCCCTCTCCAAACGGTCTCCTTTACGACATCACTCCATTGATGTTATTTTGATATTGATATAAGAGGCACGACTCAATGAAATGAAAGATTTTTTTCTGAAAACCAATCAAAGAATCGATGCGATCTTTGCTCGTGCGGGTAGACTAGTGTTAGATAACAAGCCATGTAGCTACCACCAGAATTCTATGTCAGTCCACCGCGGCCGCATTCTCTTTCCTGGATTGACAAGATTCCACCTTTGGATCGCTGCCGGGTAAATTTCCGGGAGACCAAAGAAAATTTGGTCTCCCGCCCAAAATGTTCTTTCTAGCGGGAAATATATGTAGGGCTAAGATTTGAAAATATAAACTGGATTGGAGAAATCCACTTAACAATCCATTAACTTTTAAACGAAACCTTTCTCTAAACAAAAATCGTTCTTAGTGGGTGGAATGGAAAAAAAAAAATTAGCGTGCGTTGTTTAGTCGACTTCCTCCATCTTGCTCCCCTCGGCGTCGTTCCCTTCCTCGAGCGGCGGCATCTCAACATCGGCGGCATCGCCACTCACATCATCGTCGATGCTCAGCCCCAGCTTGAGCATGCGATGGATCCTGGATCCAAA